TTTTATTTTTATTTAGAACACCGCCAATAAGTATTATTCTGCGTATATCTAATCCGTCAACTTCTCACCACTCGCCTCTTGCACCAGATCCACTTGCTTATGCTTAATTTGAACTTGAATGGAGCGCCAAAGGGAGAACAGCAGGAGCTATGCCCCTGTAGAAATAAGGTCTCCGAATCACAGGCTGCAATAAAAACTCCCGCCGCTAGGTGGCAGTGTTCCTTAGGAAGTAGCAGAAACAAACCCTCGGCTGCAGACAGAAAGGCAGTTCGAGCACAAGAATAGGGCTTTTAACGCTTGACGTAAAACAACCCCGAACCACTACCAAAAGGAGGTGCTGGCTCCGATGAGTTAAAGCGGCCGTCCGGGGAGACAAACGTTTTAAAACTGACGGCCCCCTAGCCGAGGAAGGTTGTGCCTAAGCTTGAATACCAGGCTGCCCCTTCCTATCCCTCGCTGAAGTGTTAGCAAAATTTTTCAAATGCCTGCCTCTCCCAAAATGGCTGCCGCCCCTGCGCCACGTGGCCAAGACAAAATGGTGCTGACCCCTGCTTAAATTCGGCTTGCCTCTCCTAAGATGGCCGCCGCCCCTGAGCCACGTGGTCAACTCAAAATGGCGTTGACCCCCTCTTTAAATTCGGCCTGCCTATCCTAAGATGGCTGCCGCCACCGCCACGAGGTCAGGTAAAATGGCGGACGGCTATATCGTTGCCTAGCAACGCTACCCGATCTCCCTGTAGATGCTCCTTTTTACCCAAACACGGAACCGCCAACAATTGTTCCAACGAGGAACAGCCCGTGAACTAAGGCTGATTCCAGATATGCTGCAGTAAAGCCCTAGGAAAAGGCGCTGCGAATCAGCGGACACCGTATCACCCAGACAACAGCAGGAAGTCGCGCGCGCAGGAAGACCCAGGGGGGGGCGGCGCTGCACCGGGGAAATCACGGGAAGGCGACCCTTGGACTCCTACCACCCACTCGCAAAACCACAAACGTAAAAGGCAAATAATTGCACCCAAATACAAGTAAGCGAATACGACCTGCTCCGAGCGCGAGGGAGGGAGGGAGGCTACTCAGCGACCAGCTGATCGGCGGTACGCAGCGGCAGGGGTTCTTTGATAGAGACACGTATATAGATGAGGAATCCGGCCGGGGTGCGGAATCGCGTTCCCGGCTGCGCTACCTACGAGAATAAGCTCCCCCCTGTAACCCCCCAAAAGATTTCAGCTCTTTTTAGGGCTTACGAAGCCGAAGCCGTAAGCGTGCAGGGAACAAGAAACCCCAAGGTGATCCAAATTATGAAGGTCGCTGCGATGCCTCTCCCGAGGGTGCGGAAAGGAGCGCTCCAAAGGCCTTCCCGCAAAACTCCACTAGGTAGCCAAAGGGTTCGATGAATCAGCTGGCAGAAAAACTTCTGAAACTTCTCTGCTGCCGAGGAGTGAAGAGGGCGATCCCGGGGCATGCCTGGCCTTAAATAGCGCAGGCCACACCTCCCCCGCCCGCCGATTGGCGGACAGGGGGAGGGCGGAGAGGCACGCCCCCGGGGATTCCCTTGCTCTCGCGGGGGCTAAGTTCCAGCCCCCGCACTTGTGGGAGGGGCCAGCCCGCAACACCCTCTCCTCCCGAGGCTCGGAAATGGCTTTGCGAATTACTTGTCTGGTTATCTGTGAGACTGAGAAATGCTGAGAGTTGAGTAGGCAGGGAAGTTGTTGTAAATTGGATCTTTCTTTCATTTTTGGTTTCCACTGATGTTCTACTAGAGATTACATCAATGTTTACTGCTTGTAAACCATTCTGCCAACCATTGTTTTACGCTCTTACACTCTCTAAAGGAGTCATTGCAGGGGCAGCCAGCATGGCTGCTTTGACAGGAAGCTCACTTTAGGTGACTTTGGGTCAGTCACTATTGCTCAGCCTAATCTACCTCACAAAAAAACCCTGTGAGAATAAAATGAACTGAGAGAGAACCATGCATACAGCCCTGAACCCCTTGAAGGAAAAGCATGATAAAAACCTACTTAAAACAAAAGAACTACATCAATTTTTGGTGGGTTTCTTTTTTTTTTTGCTGTTGAATGGGCTCAACTTTCCCTTGTGCAGTTTGTGCAGCTGAATGGACACAGCTCTTGCCTGCACAATTTGTTCAGTTAAATGGGCACAGCTTTAGTACCCAGCTTTTGGCTGTGTGATTTGGCTGAATCATTTCTTTGGTGACTTCTCCTTACCTTCTCTTTGATGCTCACCAGGTCACAACAGGATACAGTGCCAAGACCATTTCTGCTGCCCTGCCCGCTCCTTTTCTGGATCCTTTGCTCTCTCCTTCACTCATGGATGACTCTGAACTCAGACAGCTGGTCCTGGAAATACTGCACAACGTTATTGATCGGCATGACAACCGAGTGAAGCTCAGAGGGATAAGGTTAATGCTTGAGTCTGACAGGGTCTCTGTTGAGTCCCTATGCAACAGTAGATCATGCCAGTGTACCATGGGAATCTCGGATGTAGATGCTAAAATTGGTGGCATGCACAAAGAGATTAATCCATCTCTGCCAAAACTCCCATTAACTATGTCCCTTCTGCAGTTTGTGCACTCTTATAAAGCAGTGGGGAAGAAGTTTGTTTGGTTTGCGTTTTGATGCAAACCTATTTAATTTGCAGTTCTCAGGTCAGGAAGCAAAACACATCTGTCATTCAAAATCTCCAAACAATTGCGGTGCAACTCCCTAACCAAGATGTGTGCACATGCTAGTGTAAATTGCGTACAAAACTACTATATTATATTGGGCAAAATTCCTGGGTAACTGTACCTGAATTTTTGTGTGGAATATTTAAAGGGAGGAGAATCACATATGGACGCAGAAATGGGGCGAAGTGACTTAAGATTGGGGAAAGATTGTGGCAGCCCAGGCTATTTGTACTTTTGTTCAGAGCTCTGGTTTGCACTGAAGGCAGGCAATTAATAATGCACTACCAGCCTCAAACCTCGATGGCCCTTGTGGTCTCTTCCAACTCTATGATTCTATGATTCTATGGCCCTTGTGGTCTCTTCCAACTCTATGATTCTATGATTCTATGATTCTATGAACCTAGAATTGTTTGGGTACTTTAAGAAACCAAGGAAATCAGTGCAGTTTTGAAGGGTTCAGTCCGCCATCTTGATTGAAAATGGTGTCTGGTTGTATCCAGACATCAATGAAAACCTGCAAAATTTGGTCTCGATATCTTATGAGGTGTCCAGCTTTGTAAGTGAACAAGTTTTCAAAAGATATAGCAAATAAGAGAAAACTACGGTAACAAATTATGTTTTCCAACTGTGATCAATAGATACCATTCACTGTACACATTTTTCTTCTGTTTTACATGTTCCATTTTGTCAGTGAAGAGAGGAAAAATGCAGGAATGTAACAGCTGAATGTTTTTGATGCAGCAATTGATGATTTTGTTTTCCAGGTGCCCTGCCCTGAATGTTAAATAGCTCTTCCAAATTGTTCCTGGTTTAATTAAGCTTGTAATTATATTTTTGTTTTATACAAAACATAAAATGGACTATTCCTGTACTGAGTCATAATTACTTATGATTCCCCCCTTTTTTGAATAGGAAATCTATTGTCATTGCAAAATGTGGGTGTAATTAAAATGGAGATGACTTCGAAAATGCCTGGATAAATTAAATACTTTTCACAGCATGATTCCGAGTCTCCCCATCGCTGAGAAGTAATTTGCTTGCAAATTATAATTATTAATGCTGTTTTGAGAAAGTAACATACTGTTTTGTGTCTGCGCAGAATAATACCTGATGTTTCGGATCTAAAGATAAAACGGGACAAAATTTCAAGGCAAGATGCGAATTTCATCAAAAAGGTAATAATATCATTAAAGATCAAACCAATTGTTAGAAGAAAGAGATGTTGCATACTGTTAGGTAAGGGATATAGGGACTCACTGTTTTGTGGGTAGAACCTGTGATTTGAATGTAGAAGGGCCCAGAATTTATTTTTGGCATCTCCTCTAAATGCAAAGTCTAGTAACAGAGCTGTGTTTCTTCCAGGCAGAGTTAACAATTATGGCCTAGATCAGGGGTCAGCAAACATTTTCAGCAGGGGGCTGGTCCACTGTCCCTCAGACCTTGTGGGGGGCTGGACTATATTGGGGGGGCAATGAATGAATTCCTATGCCCCAGAAATAACCCAGAGATGCATTTTAAATAAAACCACACATTCTACTCATGTAAAAACACGCTGATTCCCATACCGTCTGTGGGCCGGATTTAGAAGGCGACTGGGCCAGATCCGGCCCCCGGGCCTTAGTTTGCCTACCCATGGGCTAGATGAAGATAAGATGAGCCCTGCTGGGTCAGACCAAAGGCTCAGCTGGTTAGCATCCTGTTCTCTTGGTGGTCTACCATGAAAAGCTGCCTTGAGTCCCAGTCTGGGGAAAAGGCAGGATAGAAACAAATATAACAATATTATTATCATCACCTACAACTCCCATCAACCTTGACATTTGGCTCCGCTGGCTGGGGCTGATGGGAGTCGCATTCCAAAATATCTGGAGGGCCACTTGATTGAAGAGGCTGCTCTGGCTTTGGTAGAAGCCAATACCTGTATTGTGAATGTGCACCAAGTAATACCTAGTGGCTCCTCAATGGCTCCAAAAAACCTGACATAAACATACGAACATAAGCAGAGCCTGCAGGATCGGGTCAATGGCCCATCTAATCCAGCATGCTGTTCTTATAGTGGCCAGCCAGATGTCTGTGGGAAACCAACAAACAGAACACAAGCCCAAGAGCCCTCCCCCCTCTCATGGTTTTCAGCAATCGGTGTTTGGAAGCATTGCTGGCTAGAACTTTCAAGGCGGAGGATAGCCGTCATGGCTAGCAGCCATTGATGGCCACCTCCTCCATGAATTTGTCAATTCTCTTTCCAAGCCACCCAACTTGGTGGCCATCACAGCCTCCTGTGATGGAGCAAGTTCCATAGTTTGACTATGCGTAAATAAGTCATTTCTTTTATCCCAAATCTTCCAACAAAAACCTTAATCAAGACTCCTCTCTGCTCTCTCTAGCATGGGCAGCAGCTGTATAGGCATGTCTACCTAGGATGTAAGGAAGAGGACAATGTCCAGAAGAACTTTGAGCTTCTCTACACAACGCTGGCTCTCATGACAATTGAACTAGCCAATGAAGAAGTGGTCATTGACCTCATCAGAGTGGCTATCGCCTTGCAGGTAGGGCTTTCGAAGTGCATCTAGGTGGCTTTGTTGATATCATGTCAACAGATTGGAATCTGTATTTCTGATCGAGAACGGTGCGCTTATTTTGTACGCTTTGAATCTACTTGCTGCATCATTTTGCACCTTGAGAATCTCACCTTCTTTTTGTACATGCTGTGGTTTCAAAATAAAGCTTAGTTAATGTGTAGAGCAGGCTCAGAAATGAGAAGAGGGCAGTATGGTGTTCCCAGTGTCCATGGGATGGATGGGTAGTGGGCTTTTCTGATACCTGCCCATCCCAGTTGTTGCATTCTAGGATCCAACCTGCCTATTGTTCTAGGATCCAAGCTTAGTACATAACATTTTCATTGCTTCTTTTCTTTCTAAGGTTGGATTCTATTGCTATTCTATTCTATTGTTTTTCACCGACTACCCCACCCCTACCCCCGACTACCTGAACAAAGCTCCTGAATGAATGACGGTCCATGGACCGCAGTTTGGGAACCCTTGCTCCAACACACTGTCAGATCATAACTACCCATGTCCTGAAAAACTGTTTTAAGATGTGTTGTGCACTGCACAAGCTATTAAGACTAGTTTGTCCTGCAAAATAAATAAATAAATAAATAAATAAAAACTTGAACTGACTTCTCCACTCAAAAGACTTTACAGTGACCTGAGACAGGGGGAAAAACCTGTTTTACCTTCCTGGCTCTTAGTCTTTTCACCCATATGAAAAAAAGATGTCCAATGCCAGTCTTGAATAAGGTTCCCTCTTCCCTTCCTTTCATTGTAGGACATTGCAATCCTTAACGAAGACAACTTGCCCATGTTCCATCGCTGTAGTGTGATGGCAGTGGTAGCCGCATACCTCAACTTCCTAAGCCAGATGATCGCTGTTCCTGCTTTTTGCCAACATGTTACTAAGGTGCTGTATCGCTTCTGATTTTCGCGAGTGTGCCTTGCATTGATACACTAGCAGAACTGCCCTTCCAGCTTGGCTAAATCAAGAGCCCAAAGCAAATTTGGGTTGGAGGTTACTTGTGGCAATATGTATGGACTGCAGAGACAGACCGCTGTGAGTGACAGCAGGCATGGGCTGGGGCTTAAAGGAAGCAGGCTCATCCCTCAAACATGTCGTCCACACTTGCAATGCATATTTATTTATTTGCAAACATATACATTTTAACATAGAATGCAAAGTGAGAAAATCATCAAACGCTGTCTTGTTTTTCCACTCGTGTTGCAGGTCATTGAAACCAGACATGTAGAAGCACCCTATTTTTTACCTGAAACAATTTTCAGAGAGAAGTGCAAGTATGTGAAATTTTAACAATTCGTAAAACATGAGAACCAGTAATGTTTTTGACTTAAGGACTGTGAAAGACCATCTCTGTTGCTGGCATGTCTAGTTAAAGGGCAGTGAGGACAGATCTTCTGCCCAAGACCCTGGAGAGCCTCTGAAACTCAGAGTAGACAGTACTGGGTTGGGTGGACAAAACAAAATCATAGAGTTGTAGAGTTGGAAAGGACTGTGAGGGCCGTCTAGTCCAACTCATGCAATGCATGAATATTTTGCCCAATGTGGGGCTCAAACCTTTGACCCTAAGATTAAGAGCCTCATGCTCTACCAACTGAGCCATCATGAGCACATAATCTGCCTTGTTCTTCAAGTTCCTATGTTCCCCAGGTTTTAATACAAGAGCAGGAGAGCTTTCTCAGTCCCTTCTGAGCAATCTCTTGGAGCCAGATTCCAGTGTCAGGCAGAACCAGAGGCAAAAGTGTGCAGAGCAATCAATGCAAATCTTACCTCTATGCAATAGTTTAGTTTTGACATACACATGCACCCTGCTCTGCTCTGTAGAGAGCTAGTGTGGTGTAGTGGTTAAGACCAGTGGACTTGTAATGTGGTGAACCGGGTTCGATTCCCTGCTCCTCCACATGCAGCTGCTGGGTGACCTTGGGCTAGTCACACTTCTCTGAAATCTCTCAGCCTCACTCACCTCACAGAGTGTTCGTTGTGGGAGAGGAAGGGAAAGGAGATTGTTGGCCGCTTTGAGACTCCTTAAAGGTAAAGGGACCCCTGACCATTAGGTTCAGTCGTGACCGATTCTGGGGTTGCGGCACTCATCTCGCTTTATTGGCTGAGGAAGCCGGCGTACAGCCGGCATGACTAAGTTGCTTCTGGTGAACCAGAGCAGCACACGGAAACGTTGTTTACCTTCCCACCAGAGCGGTACCTATTTATCTACTTGTGCTTTCAAACTGCTAGGTGGGCAGGAGCAGGGACTGAGCAACGGGAGCTCACCCCGTCATGGGGATTCGAACCGCTGACCTTCTGATTGGCAAGTTATAGGCTCTGTGGTTTAACCCACAGCGCCACCCGCGTCCCTGAGACTCCTTAGGGTAGTGATAAAGCAGGATATCAAATCCAAACTCTTCTTCTTTTTCTGTATCCTCCATTCAGACAAGCAAATGACATTATCAGAGTTCAAAGACACATTCTAGCCAGGTACAAACACTCCAGGTGTGAAGCAGGCCAGTGAGAGGTGTGACCTGTGGAGAAGGGGTGTGGCTTGGTAGAAAGACCTGGAAGGCACACCCCTGGTCTTAAATAATATTTAAGAATCAGATCTAGTGTGCAATATGCACCTTTGGGTAATTCGCTCTAACCTACATTCTGAACCATGCCTCTTTTTTCTCATTCTTTGCTTCTTTTATCTAATGCTTTTAAATCCACAATTGCAAATTGTGTTTTGAAGCCTGCCCAAGTCCCTGGAGAAGGACGAAACGAGCTTGTTCTTCCTGACCAACCAAATGGCAGAATCGCTGGGTGGCAGCGGCTACTGCGTGGAGAGACTGTCTGTGCCATATGTACCACTTGTGACAGGTAAGCCCCTGATGGCTCACGCATCCTCTTCACCTGTAGTCATTGACCACCGTTTATCATAGCTACTTTTTTAAGGGAGAAGGTTGCCTATAGCATCCTTTGGTGCTTTCCAGCAGTCCAGCAACAATGGAAGTGGTCCCCATCCTTGGTGTAGGAGAATCCCAAATACTCATAATATTATCTGAGTGAAATACATATGCATACATTTTTAGAAGCATAGCCTACTGGCTTTCTTGATTGCAGCTATTTATATCCATTGTGGAGGCCCTTTGGAGATAACTAAATCACTGCTAGTGAACAACAAAGTCTTCTTGGTTCTGCTTTTAGGCATGCTCAATAGTCTTATTGATTCTGTGTAATAATAATAATAATTATTATTATTATTATTATTATTATTATTATTATTATTATTATTATTATTTATACCCCGCCCATCTGGCTGGGTTTCCCCAGCCACTCTGGGTGGCTTCCAACAGAATATTAAAATACAATAACCTATTAAACATTAAAAGCTTCCCTAAACAGGGCTGTCTTCTCCATCACTAACATATTAAATGCAGTTCAAAGCATTGTAAAGGAATTGAGACCCAGAGCCTTTTTTGGGTAGCCCAGTTCTTTAGATTCTGGCACAAACATTGATGGTTTTTCTGCTGCCCCATTCTTTTTTTTCTGGTTTTCCGTATGGTATGTCATCCTAAAGCTTCTATTTCCATTCTTATGCATCTTCGGAAATGTAGCTCTATTCCCATCTGGCAAAAAGCCTCATAAATGCAGGCACAAGTCAAAAGGTAAATTGGAGCTGCCACTGCTTGTTCCCGTTATAGCTTCATGGCGGTAGCACCCAAAGAAAGCCAAATAAGCTCCTTATGCTCATAGATAGAAAATCCCAGTGTTGTGCAATTTTCCTTTATTTCCCCTGCTCCTAGTAGCTGTGACCCACACAACTGTAGACATTAGGGCTGCCATACAAGGTGTCCTGGTTTTTACTTTTTGAAATATGGCGTAACCAGGGCCGGATTTAGGTTTGATGAGGACCTAAGCTACTGAAAGTAATGGGGCTCTTTATATGTCCGGCTGTCCTTTGTCAACAACAAATTGTCACTGTTTTTTTGTGTTGAATATATGCTGTATGGTAATTTATGAAACTAATAGGTATCTTTAGCCATTTGCAACCAGTCCATGCAGAATGTCTGCATCCTGTATATAGAAATGAGCAAACCAGTGATATTTTAGGGAGCAGGCTAGCAGGCGGGGCCCATTACTTACATCATAGGAGCCTACACAACACAAAACACTGTTATTTTATTTGTTTTTTATCTTATATTTTGGAAATGTACATCCAGGTTTTTTTCCCTTTAATTTTTTGGGGGCCCCCAAGAGAGTGGGGCTCTAAGCTATAGCTTTAGCTTATACGTAAATCCGGCACTGTTGGCAACCCTAGTAGATGTAGCATATTCGTACGCATCTCATAGGTATTTTTCCCAATGGTTTTTTTATCTATCTTCGCATTTATATCCCACCTTTCCTCCAATGGCTGTCCTCTCCTCCACGTGATTCTCACAGCACCCCCGCGAAGTAGGCCAGACTGAGAGGTAGTAATTGCCCAAAGTCACCTCATAATTTTCATGGCCAAATGGGGATTTGAACCCCTGTCTCCCAGATTGCAGCCTAGCACTCTAACCGCTACCCCATGCTGCCTCTTTGCGGACTTCCAGTGTGCTTCTGCGCACAATTCGAGTGGCTGGTATTCTCTTGCAAAGCCCTTAATGGCTCGAGGCCAAGGAATCGGAGGTACCAGCTATGAACCTGTCTGCTTTCTGATACCTTTATGCCCTCCTGTAATAATAAATAATAATAATTTATTATTTATACCCTGCCCATCTGGCTGGGCTTCCCCAGCCACTCTTGGCGGCTTCCAACAAAATATTAAAACACAGTAATGCATCAAACATTAAAAGCTTCCCTAAACAGGGCTGCCTTCAGAAGTCTGGTAGTTGTTGTTCTCTTTGACTTCTGATGGGAGGGTGTTCCACAGGGCGGGTGCCACTACCGAGAAGGCCCTCTGCCTGGTTCCCTGTAACTTGGCTTCTTGCAGCAAGGGAACCGCCAGAAGGCCCTTGGCACTAGACCTTAGTGTCTAGGTTGAATGATGGGGGTGGAGACGCTCCTTCAGATATACTGGACTGAGGCCGTTTAGGGCTTTAAAGGTCAGCACCAACACTTTGAATTGTGCTCAGAAATGTACTGTAAGTGTCCTATCTCCTGAAATTAAGTAGAAGACCACTGGAGGGAGGACCTTTTCATTCATGGTGACCCAGACACAGGGCATTTCTCCCAGGGACACTTAGCTGATGCCGACTGTTAGTTTGGGGTTAGTTTTGCCTCCACCCATGCAAGCCAGAGGACTTGTTGGAGTTTCAGGATGAATTCCAGCCAGGCAAAAGCACTCAAAGAGAGTGTGAAGCAGGCAGGTGAGGGGTGTGGCCTGGAGACAAGAGGTGTGGCTGGACAGAGTCCTAAGGGCCAGACATAGGGTCCTGGGAGAGGCCACTGAAATTTGAATTGACTCGCTTCAGTTTGGGGCAAAGAAAACAGGAAAACACAAAGATGTTTAAAATATCTTTTAGTAAAAAACCGGAGGCATTCCTATTAGGTTTAATTACAAACAATATCCCTGAAAATCAAAGGAAAGTATTCCTTTATGCAACAACAGCTGCCAGGATGCTTATAGCTAAAAACTGGAAAGGTAGAAAAATTCCATCAGTGAAAGATTGGCAAATTAAATTTTGTGAATACATAAATCTGGCAAGACTCACAGCTTACATAAGGGGACAATCAGACCAGAAATTATTAAAAGAATGGGGTTGTGCTAAAGACTATATGAAAAAACATTGTTCTGGAGTTAGTATATTGGTATGCAGTGAATGATGCTTTACAGGGTTAAAGAATAAGAAAAATGGTGTAAAAAAGCACAAAGATGGAAGTAATCTAATTAGACACAACAATACAGTAAGAGTAAATTTTTTGAGGTCTCAGAACAAAGGAAGGAAGTCAATTTGTGTTTATGTACGTAATGATATGGTTTTGTTTTGTAGATGTGTGCTTTCTTGTTTCTGTTTAGTTTTAGTTTCATTTCCTTTTCTTTCTTTCTTTTTTTCCCTTTTCTTTTTCTGTTTTTTTTCCTATATGTTCCCGGGATTTTTGTTTGGATAGTATTATTTTGGACTCAATGTTTGTAATTTTTTGTTATGATTCTGCATTGAAAATAAAACTAAAAAAAAGGAAAAAAAAGAAAACAGGAAAACACAATGATGTATTGACAAGACAGGCATTCCTCTTTTTGTTCAGATGAAGACAGGTTGTCCAGGAGGAAGAGTATTGTGGACACCTTGTCAATTCAGGTAGACCTTCTGCCTGGCTGCAGCCTGGATGAAAAGGTATGTAACAGTTCCATTAAAGAAAATATCATGCATCTTTTCCCCCCTATAAACATTCTTCGGTGCTTTCAGTCTATCTATATACCACAAGCTGTGGTAGTCAGGATTGTGATTTGCATTTGCAGATCTACTGTGCTGCATTTAAAGTAAAAATGTCACCAGGAAAAAACACACACACATGATTCGAAGGGCTGTTTTTCGGGTGGAAAAAATATTTGAGACACTTAAGATGAATTGTAGCTGACCCTTTACTGCGGTTGACACAATACCCTAAACAATATTGTTTCTTTAGGCAAATAGCACTGAAGAAATCACCTTTGAGACGCTGAAGCAGGCAATAGGTAAGAAAGCTTTGCACTTCTGTGTTCACTAGTAACAATAATATGCTCCCATAATATGCTCCTTCAAGGGTGAATTATTTCATTTCACTCTTTGCTTAATACATTGGCCCTAAATTGGGATGAGGATGAATAATATTCCTGATGTTTCCCTTTGCTTTGCTTTCTGGTTACTCTGTTGATGCTGTTAGCAGCTTAAAGTCATTGGTTTAAAGTTGGTTGGTTTCCCCCCACACCCCCATGTCTCCCAAAGACAACAATGGGCTTGAGGAACAAGAGAAAGAAAGGAGGCGCCTTGTGATTGAAAGATTCCAGAAGGCTCCCTTTGAAGAAATTGCTGCACAGTGTGAAACCAAGGTAAGTACCCGGGCCATGATCCGCCTGCTCGATCCTGCTAAGGGCTTAAACAGATGCACCAGGTATGCTCAGTGGCGTAGCATGGGGTGCAGGGGGGGGCCGGCCGCACCGGGCGCAACATCTGGGGGGGTGCCTCCGGAGTCACCGAAGAGCCTCGGGCGCTGGCTGTAGCAGAGCACCATGTCTCGTGGAACCGACGAGCCGGCAGCGGCTCTCAGCGCTTGCCGCGGTCCCCGCGCATCAGGGCCACGGAGGGTGCGCCAGGCAGCCCCTCCTCACAGCCCCGCCGCCGCCGCTGCTGCTGCTGCAGCTGCTGGGCCACGTTGCATTTTCCTCGCCTCTCTGCCCTCCTCCTCCTCCGGGCAAGCGGCGTCGTTTGGGCAGCAGCGCCAGCGGCAACTCGCCTCAGATCACCTGACACGGACCCGCTGCCGCCGCCGTGGCTACCTTACCGTAAATACCCCAGCCCAGGCAGCAGCAAGAAGAAGCTGGCAGCGGCGGCAGGTTAGGGGTTAGGGGGCGCAAATTACTTGCCTTGCCCCGGGTTAGGGGGCGCAAATTACTTGCCTTGCCCCGGGTTAGGGGGCGCAAATTACTTGCCTTGCCCCGGGTGCTGACAACCCACGCTACGCCGCTGGGTATGCTGGACCTCATTAGCGACGAATGTCAGAGAGAAAGTGCTAAGGCTCTCCTTTCTCTGGACTAGGGATAGCCAACAAGACACCCTCCACATGCTAGGGACTGCAACTCCCATAACCCTCAACTATTCACCATGCTGGCTAGGGCTGATGGGAGTTGGAGTCCCAAACACCCCTCTATACTTAGATGCCACCTCCTTCGCCATGCATACAGGTACCCTTTGGCAAGCATCTTACAAAGCAATCTTCTAGGGCAGGCTTCCTCAACCTCAGTCCTCCAGATGTTTTGAGACTACAATTCCCATCATCCCTGACCACTGGTCCTGCTAGCTAGGGATCAACGCAGTTTACCTTCCCGCCGGAGCGGTACCTATTTATCTACTTGCACTTTGACGTGCTTTTGAACTGCTAGGTGGGCAGGAGCAGGGACCGAACAACAGGAGTTCACCCCATCGTGGGGATTCGAACCGCCGGCCCAATGATTGGCAAGCCCTAGGCTCTGTGGTTTAGGCCACAGCACCACCCACGTCCCCTTGAGACTCCTTAGGGTAGTGATAAAGCAGGACATCAAATCCAAACTCTTCTTCTTCCTGTGGGTTTCTCTGTGATGCTAAAATGTTTGTGTGGAACCCCTCCCCTTTGAGAGACCCTAAAATTTGTCTTGTTAAAAAAAACGCCTATCCCCATTTCGGCAAGTTGACCAATCCTGCTTTTCAGCATCAGAAGCTTTGAATTGCGGCCCTTGAAAGGTTGACAACGGTTCAACATGGCCCTTGACCCCAAAAATGGTTAGCCGCCTCCCCTAAGAGTTTGCCTTTACAATTTGTGGCTTACAGGCACGCGTTTTGGTGTGGGCAAGTTTCCTTGAAATGGTTATTCACCTAACTTTTTGCAAGGATATAGTCCTGGATGTGTACCCCTCCCCCAGCACATCAGTTGTGTGAATCACTGGCAGTCACTGGGAAAGGGACTGCACATCTGGGGGTGTCCCCAGTGTCAGGCATGCTGCTGCCCCCCACCTCAAGACAGTCATGTGTTCCCACAGGCTTTCTGGTCATGGAAGCCAAATTCATAAGGAGCTGCTTGTGCACAAGCTTCTTCTTCTTCTTCTTCTTTTTAAATGCTATTTATTAGAGATTTAATAGTTACAGAAAGAAAAAGAAAAAAAGAACCAATGAAAAGTTAAACAGAACAAAACAATACCTTACAATACATCAAAGAGGGGGGGAGCAAAAAACAATACAACAGAACAATAAAAAAAAGAAAAAAACATTTAAAAACACGTCCAGTATTTCCATATCTTTATCTTTCATTTACTTGCTTCATCGACCTCCTCACACCTCCCTTTTTTGTATTCTAGTTCAATTAGCTATTTCAGCAAATCCTTTCCATCTTTCTCAATTTTTGTTCTATAATTTATCTTAACACAATCTGACCTTAAATTTTACACTTTGGCCCATTAACAATCTATTTTTACTTAGTTCTTTATAACATTTCTGCTAAAACCATGTAACTTCATTCCAGCATCCTTCTAACATTCATTAATTTTACAGTATTTCTGTAAATATACTTTGAATTTTTTCCCAATCTTCTTCCACCGACTCTTCTCCCTGGTCTCGGATTCTGCCAGTCATTTCCGCCAATTCCATGTAGTCCATCACCTTCATCTGCCACTGCTCGTGCACAAGCTTCCATGCGATTGGATAATCCTAGATGTGTCGGTACCCACAACCACCATGTCCAATCCCAGTAACTTCATGGTGCCCTAGATGCCCACAATGCCAGTGGATTCTGATACAAGATCACTGCTGCTATTGCTGGCTCTGTGTTTTTCCAGAGCAATTTGTCAGAAGGTTGCGGTGGTTACCCAGCACCCCCCTCTCCCTAAAATATCCAATCTGTTCTCTCTGCAGGCAAACTTGCTCCACGACAGGCTGACACAGATATTGGAACGCACCATTCGGTAAGAATTCGTGGAAGTGGTTTTGCGTTTACGAAGAATAGGCAAGGCTACCAGGTTGTTCCTGGTTTCCAAAAAATAACTTGTGTTTCTGCTTTATTTTGGGTGGGGGCGGGGGGAGATGTTGGCTGCACCCCCATCCATACTTCCTAGGGTCCCATTAATATCTGTAGCACTTCATTCTAAGGCAGGGGTTGGCAACATTTTTTGAGACTGGTCCGGTCCACTCCCTGGCAGACCTCTTGGTGGGCCAGAGTGTGTGTGCCCACACGTGCGTGCAAGCTATTTCTGGTGCAGTTCTGGGTTGGAAGAACGCCAGAAATAGCGTGTGCGCATGGGCGCTTCTCTGTCCCGGAAGTGCGCCGGAAATGGCTTATACACACGCGTACAGGCACTCCTCCAGGTGAGGAGCGCCCATGCGCGTGCACACACGCTATTTCCAGCACACTTCAGACCTGGAAGTTGGTCCCCATGGCAAGAAAAAAATTGGCACCGCAGGGGGGGAAGCATGGAATCCCCACGTCGATCCACGGAATGGCCGTCGGCCTGTTCCAGGTAGCTCACTCCAATCTGGGAGAAAAGGTGGGATATGAATAAATAAAATAGTTGCATAAGTGGGGCAATTGGACAATTAAAAGAACCCCAGACAACTGAAGCTTCCAAAGTATAATGTTATGGAAAGAACCAAAATATGTTGAAGGGGGTTTATGAGTAAGTCAGGCACGTGCTGTAAAGTTGAGTAGTCATGTATACTTGAGCAGAGAGCCATTGAATATTGTAGTTGCGTGAACAGCAAAATGAAGGAGATAAGGATGAAGACAATCGCTATACCAGAAAGCTGTAACTATGACGCATGACTTAGCTGGACAGAATACCTGTTGTTTAGGAATGCTTAAACCATAAATATTGCTGTATCTTTCAATCTCCTCGGCACTTTCTTCCCTTCCCAAGTGGGGTTAAAGTGGTGTCCATTTCAATGCTGAATAAATGCCTGTTAATTGATCTGATAGGGTTGTCCAGGCAAACCCACAGGGGGTATTGGGTATCACCCCAATATTTCTCCCAACAGTACCCCAGGCAGGAGACAACCTGAAATGAGTGCCTCATCGCAAACACTGAAAAGCAAGACAAATAAAATTGTGAGCATGCAGTAAAGCCTAAAAACAATGCCTCTATTTGTTCTCCATCTTCCCCAGGCCTCCTCCAAGCCCTTCTGGAACGGTGGCGATTAACACTGGACACAACCATTACCGGTCCATCCCAGTCTACGAGATGAAGTTTCCTGATCTTTGTGTGTATTGAGTGTCCTCTGAATTCATCAAAAAGACAGGTTTTTGGCTTCTCAGAAAATTATTTCACCGAGTTTAATGGGGTGTCTGCCCCGAGCAGATTACATTATATTTTGAATATGGTTTTGTTTTGTTTTTATAGGTGAATTCTCCAACACTTCTGCTGTGTCCCAGTAATAGTGCATTAGTGATAGATCTATACCGGACTTTCCACACGATTAGTTACTTTATTAGTAGTTCTGTGATGTTTTCCCCAGTGTTAACTGCACTATTGCCAGCTGGAGGGGCACTCATGCGCTATTGTGCAACATGAACAGGACAAGAGAAAGGAAGAGAACATTTGTGGCATTAAAAGTTGCAGGATTTCAGCATGGAAGCCGTGGGATATGCACCGATTGGAAACAAAGCAGTATTTCCACCCAAAACAGGCACAAACAGTATTGAAAGCAAGATTGCTTATGAGCACAAATCTTCATAATGAAAAAGACTTCTGGAGGGGTCCTTATTCATTCCACTGAATTCAAGACATTTTAAAAAAAAATATTATTACTATTTGGAAGGCAAACCTTTCTTTTGTCCTGCCCCCTCCGATTTGTTTATTATATCGTAGCATTTTGTAATTTTAGACTACAGTTTGCAAGTGTAGTTTGGATGGGCTCTTTTCTTTTTTATAACCATGAGTTTTTCTAACCTGTTTTGACATATGTGTTTTTGGCAACACTGATATATTTACAGCACTGGATAGCTCTTTACTTGCATAGAATTTACATCTCCCAGGGAGGAACTATGAGAGTTATAAACAGGCTTGAAATATGTTTAAATTTCTGCGAGTTGTTGGGATTAGGAAGATAATCCATGCATGGAAAGGAAGTTGTGAACACACAGTGGTCTGGTTTGCATGCTAAGCCCAAACCATTGCTTTGCACAAACATGTTACATCCCAGAGACAATATTGCAGCTGCATCACATCTCCCAAGTCATTTTACTTCTGCACTGCATGGAGCTAAGCTATGGTTTGGCTTAACACGTGGTCAAAACCCAGGCTGCAGACAAGCCACAAGCTGGAATGAAGGTTTGTCCTATGGCTTACAAACTGTAGTTTGCCTGAAGAAAGCTAAGCCTGGCTTCAGACAAAATGTGTAGCCAAACTGTGCTGTAGCTCAGGCATAGGCAAACTCGGCCCACCAGATGTTTCGGGACTACAGCTCCCATCATCCCTAACTAAAAGGACCAGTGGTCAGGGATGATGGGAGTTGTGGTCGCAAAACATCTGGAGGGCTGAATTTGCCTATGCCTGCCTTAGCTGGCAGCAGCAAAACAACCAGTCAGTGTGAAGCGATTGCAATATCCTTTCTGGAAGCCTGGCCACTAAAATCCCATCCCAGGAACTGGAGCTGCATACGAGTAGCATTTATTGCTACCAGTTATCTGTTGGTGGAGTCTGGGATTCACACCACCCCGAGCGATTGGCAGCAACTTGACTTGCACAAGATTGGACTTTCAGCCTGGGAAAACTCACGCATGGTTCCCTCTGTCACATGTGTGCTTTGTCTTGTTGGATCAGCACCCTGGTGCAGGCCGTAAAAGTTTGTATTCCTTTCAGTGGCAGTGCTCCATATGGGACACGGGTGGCTCCATGGTCTAAACCACTGAGCCTCTTGGGCTTGCCGATCAGAAGGTCGGCGGTTCGAATCCCTATGATGGAGTGAGCTCCCATTGCTCTGTCCCAGCTCCTGCCAACCTAGCAGTTCAAAAGCATGCCAGTGCAAGTAGATAAATAGGTACCGCTGCGGCGGGAAGATAAATGGCGTTTCTGTGCTCTCTGGTTTCCGTCAAGGGGTTCCATTGTGCCAGAAGCGGTATACTCATGCTGGCCACATGAATCGGAAAGCTCCATATAATGTTTTGGAGCCTTAAACACTTGTTATTATAGAGTATTGGAATGTGCTGTGCATCCTGCCAAAGGCTATAATGTGGAGACCTGTGCATGCATGAGTCTCTCAATGCTGACTGCCCCATATGGAGTACTCCCTTCCACCCACTGCTGGCAGTTGGAGGATTTGCCCCATGTTTGTGGGGCTGCATCACCAGCCCACGGTCAAGGCATCTTGCTTGAAAGGCAAGAAGCTTTCTGTTGGGGTCTCTGGAATTGCACTATCCCCCCTCCCCTTCTAAAGGAATATAATTTCTTACAGATTGTGGTTTTGAAATGCAGAGTATTTTGTTAATGAGAACTTAGGAGCAATTAAAGGGAAAGCGAGTTATATATTTGATATGGCAAGGGATATGGTAAAGGCATTTTAAAGAGGATAAGTATTTCATAATGTGCCGAACTGTGAAATGGGTGTGAAGTATTTCTGTGTGTGTGTGTGTGTGTGTTTAGCAAACCTTTGTAGTTGACGAAACTTGTATATCTTTAGAATGTTGTTGTCCAGCAATACCATACAGTGGTACCTCTAGTTTCGGTCACGATCCTTTCCGGGATGCCGTTTGCACCCCAAAAAGTCCACAACTAGAGTGGCGCTTCCGCACATGCGTGAAGCGCACAGAACACTTCTGCACGCATACATGCAGTGAAACCCGGAAGTAAACTTTAAAGTTTACTTCCGGGTTTGCCGTGTTCACAAGCCGAAAAGACGCAACATGAACCTAACGCAACATGAGGTATGACTGTATTCCATAGCCCTCTTAATTTGTATGTGCTTTACTGGATTTAATGGTTAAGTTAAATTTCGTCGGCCCATGTGTTTGGTGTCAACACATTGTCAGTGCAAGGTTAGGGTGTAATATTCTGTTAAAGCTGAACTGCAAAATGTTGTGTAAAGAATGTGATAATAATCAGCAGGGCTGTTGCCCTTCCCTGTTGTTCTGTAGATAACATGGAGTGTTGTGCCAAAGATTTCTCCTGCTTCCCCCTTCTCCCCAAACATTCTCCATCAATTTATGAGAAAAGAAACAGCGTTCAGAAAACAGAAGGGATATAAATTTCTGTGAAATTCTCGTGGGCCAGGAACACTTGTTACACTTCCCTGACTTGCGAGGTGGCCAAGGAGTGTGTATGAATGTTCTGCCTTTCATTCTACACAGCGTCTCTCCAATGGTCTGCACTATGCAGTCATCCTGGGTGCCTGTGTTTCAGGTAAAAATCCTTGACACCTCATCCAGACCCTTCTGTAAGCACAAAGGAGCTGTCTACTGTCTGCACCTAGCAGCTGGTCATTGCCATTGTCTTTTAAGTGAAGCCTTCCCTTTTATACTTACAGGACTTCCCAGGCTGCACTAGGATTTTAAAATAAACCAGCATGGAAAGACAGGAAAGAGGAAGAACTTCCCTTAAGAACGAAATTGGCACGCGCAGCAGTCTCAAGGGTTTGGTGGTCGCATGTACCCAAACACATACTCTGGCTTTTTCCACTCTTCAGATAAAGTCCAGGGGAAGATGCCATGGGCCTTTTTCAAATCAAGAAACTAGGGAGGCTACAGAGTGCTGCAGAAATGTTTAATGGAGATAAAAACATACAGCTGTGGCCTCCTCACCGCAAGAAAGTTAAGCTCAGTCCTGCACCCACCAGATTCTGAAAAATGGTTCTAAAACACCCTGGGAATAAGGGTGAGCTCCCATTGCTCGGTCCCTGCTCCTGCCAACCTAGCAGTTTGAAAGCACGTCAAAGTGCAAGTAGATAAATAGGTACTGCTCTGGCAGGAAGGTAAACGGCGTTTCCGTGCGCTGCTCTGGTTTCACCAGAAGTGGCTTAGTCATGCTGGCCACATGACCCAGAAGCTGTACACCTGCTCCCTCGGCCAGTAAAGCGAGATGAGTGCTGCAACCCAGAGTCGGCCACGACTGGACCTAATGGTCAGGGGTCCCTTTACCCTTTACCTTTAAGGAAAAGTGGGATGTTCCGGGATCAAACCAGAAACCAGGACAGCATCTCTGAATCAGGGGCGTCCCTCTGAAAATTGGGGCACTTGGAGGGTGTGATGTTGTTGAGTGAAAGAAAAGACACCGCAGATGTGGCTTCTGCAAAACAATTATCCCGTGGCTGTTCTCTATACAGTGGTACCTCGGGTTACAGACGCTTCAGGTTACAGACTCCACTAACACAGAAATAGTACCTCGGGTTAAGAACTTTGCTTCAGGATGAGAACAGAAATCATGAAGTGGCGGTGCAGCGGCAGCGGGAGGCCCCATTAGCTAAAGCGGTGCTTCAGGTTAAGAACAGTTTCAGGTTAAGAACGGATCTCCAGAACGAATTAAGTACTTAACCCGAGGTACCACTGGTACCCAACCCACCAGAGCCATTTCCCCATGCTGTGCCCCTTTGAAGCTGGTGGGATTTGTACAAGAGACGCCTTGCACATCTTCCACGTTCTTCATTGGGGCTGGAGCAGGAGAATGCCCAGGTTGCTTGTGCCCGTATCTTTCCCCCCCCCCACAAAACTTAAAATCAAAGTGAAGCAGCAATCTCGCCCTCGGAACCACACCCTGAGCCCTACAGATGTGATTTCCCTTTTGCTTCAGTGGTGCGTGTGAACGAAGCGCCTCCAAAGTGTCTAAAACACTTCCCTTTGCTTGCACACTTCCAGTATTGCATTGTATGTAATAAATATTTTCTAATTTTTTTTAAAAAAATGGTTTTTGTGCACCAGGACCTAGCATTCATAGTTGTGTTACTACTGTCTTATTCTTCTTTGTATCCATCTGAAGAATGTCACTTTATCCAACAAACACAAACCCCTGTGTGGGAAATGTCACCTGGTACAGATCTCTACAGACCAGTTGGGATTCATGTGTGGACGCTAAAGCCCCTTTCCTGGGATCCACATAGTCCAGCTCTTTATTTTCACTTCTTTTTCTAGCTTCCTAACTCTCTGGAGGAAAACACTGCTAAACCTAAAAAATACAAATTCACACGCTTCAGATTTGCAAATTGTCCAGGGTGAAAATATGGCTAGTTTATTCCTTTCACCGCTCATGTTTCCCTGACTTTTACCTAATGAAAAGCTTTTGTGAAATGTAGAACACACTTTCTGCAATCTTCTATATTTAAGCAAATAAAGGGAAAAGTGAAAATAAGCCACATTGTTTGCACTTGCCTTCCTGAAATCACATGCTATATTATGGTTGCCTTAGGCTTTTAATGGCCTCGTGATGTGCTGAGCCAGGGATGGAGAAATCTCTGGTCCGTGGGCCAAATTTGGCCCTGCCAGTCTGTTTTAATAAAACTACACCCTGCTGCCCCACACCCAGTCATATGTGACTATTTTGGATTATTTTACAGGGTTTTTCCTCATTAAAAATAATAACAGGACTCCTACTTGTCTTTCTCATGATTAAAATAGCTTCCCTTCCAAATTTAATATTTGCCTCGGGGAGGAAAAATTACAGGTAACCATATCTGTAGGTTTTCGCTGTGGGGCAAAGAGCTTAGGGAGGGAGAGGGTGGGCATGGGGCCCTGATTTAAATTGCTTTTCCCTTCACAACTGTTTATAATGTTAAAATCCACAGGAAATCCAGATAGCATAACTACATATCTTCAGCACTGTATACGATGTACCTTGATGCAGGATATCATTTTGTTTCCTGTCTCATCAGAAGTAAATCTCATTGAATCAGTGAGGCTTACTCCTAAGTAATTGGGGTTAATCTTCTTTGTATTGTGAATTTTAAATATCAAAGAAATGCATTACCCATTATTTTTATCTCATGGGCAGAAGTGATCTCTCCTGTGAATTTTATCTAGGCTCCTCTGCTAAAGTCGCAGCCTCTTTGTCAAAGTCGAAAGAACTATCTGGATTTGACTGCCCAATTTTGGCCACTCTATATTTGAATTTTAAAACTAAAATTAAATTTAAAATCCCAGTTCTCCTTCCTCCCCATCCCACTCCAGTTTTCTTGATTTTTAACTAAACCATCGCTTCTTGGTGCCTGAGTGAGGTAAAACAAGATAGAATGACAAATTTATACTGAATTGTGAAATCAAAATAGTGAGTTATGTCAAATGAACTGTGTGGTTTGGGAGCTGCATGGTCAGGGGAAAAACAATGCTGTCCAGGGTTGTAAAGACTGCAGAGAAAATAATTGGGTGCACTCTTCCCACCTTGGATCAAATCTATGCTTCCAGGTATCATAAGAAAGCTGCAGAGATAGTGCAGGATAGTACACACCCCGGAAATGATCTCTTTCAGCTTCTGCCTTCTGGAAGAAGGTACAGGGTTATAAAGACAAGGACTAGCCGTCTGAGAAACAGTTTCTATCCAGATGCGATTTTGGTTTTAAACGCAGTGTAAGGTAGTCTCTGTGGGAGTATATTGTATTTAATTATGGGGTATCAGAGTTTTTAGGGGGGTTAACCAGGCTGGGAGAGCTGGGATAGCAGGCTTGTGGGTTTTTGAATGTCTGATGTAGATTTTTTCAATTTCATTGTTCTGTATGGGACAATGACAATAAAGATTGCCGTATCATTATCGTATCGCAACATTGCTTACCTGAGAGTAAGCCCCACTGAAACCAATGGGACTTACTTCTGAATATACATGGTTAGATTTTCAGCCATAGCTGGCCACTTTATTAAATTTGTCTTTAAGGTGTCACAAGCTTTTTTGGGGGTCATCGTTGCTGCAAAAGACTATCAGGGCTACTCCTCTAGAAATTTTTTAGCTTTGAAAGGGATCATGCAGGGAAGGCTACTGATTTGTAAATATAGTGT